GGAGGGAGCTGCGTGAAATATCAATGCATTCAGAGAAGATTTTAAATCTAACCAATCAAGAGCTGCTCTGGAGAGCCCTGTAGGGCATCAGTGTCCTGTGCCAGTCTCCCCTTCACACTAGCAGCCAGTAAAATGGCGGCTAGGTTTGGTTCCTTCTGATCTTCAGGACCATGCTGTTCCGTGTTTTTGCGTTTGTGTACGTTACTCTTTCTGCTGGCAATGCCCTTGCATAAGTTAGTGCCAACAGCTCCCATCTCTGAAGCTTTGCAATAAGGTTTGGGGGCTCTTTCCACCAAGTTTTCATTGCACCTCTGTTATATCTTTACCTCATTGTGTGTGTGTGTGTGTCTCCAAGAGACTCTGCGTTCCTGCAGAGCGAGGACCATGCCTTCTCATCTGTAGAGCCCTAACAATTAATTCAGTGCCTGCCAGTCACATGTAAATTTTATTGAGCACCTACTACATACAAGGCCCTGTGCTACACACTATGGATATAAAATAATAGTCTGTTGCCCTCAAAAACTTTCAATAATGGTAATAATTGTCGCAAGTTCCCCCAACCCCACCCCCTACCCACATCATGATTGCATCTAAGGTTTGGGGTCCTATGTTGTGCTGAGGTATAGGGTTGGGCAGGAGGGTCTCATGTTCAGTTATTGTCCATGTAGGTCCCCAGCTCCTTGGTCCTGGGAGCCTCGTATGGAAGGCCCCTTGGAGTCAGACTTTCTGTGTCTTTAAAGCTGGCGCTTGGCATAAAGACTCATTCTTCTCTCCTCACCCCAACTATTGGCCACAGGAAACCCTGAGAGACTGACTGAGACCTTGTCTGCTTCCAGTCCCTTTAGGGCACTGGTATCTGATCTTATTGGAGGGTTAAGCCATGCACCACGCCTTCTGGATTGTCCCCTCCTTCCACCCCAAGGCACGAGGGTCCTCCTTTCTCAGTCTCCCAGATTGTCTTTGCCACCCCCTCCCCACACTGAGGGATAAGTTTCCAGGCTCAGAAGGTGGAAAGCTGTTCCAGCTCTGTGGATTCTTTCTGCCTCTCCTTTTGAATGTGAATGTCAAAAGCCTTTCACATTCCCTTCTGCCGCAGCAACATTTCCTCAAAGCGGTGGTTTGTAAGGGTAATGACCCAAATAGGAAAGGAGGGAGAGTACCAGAAAATACCAAGAATGTAAATTGCAGAAATATTACCGAAAAACAGTACTAGCGATAGTAGCTAATTACTTCTTAGCTCTTCTAATGAGCCAGGAATTACAATAAGTAATTCATATGCCTTACATAGATTCATTATCATAACAACCCATGAGGTAAGTTAGATTATTATCCTTGTATTACAAGAGGCCCCGGGCAACGTTGCCTGCAGCCATGGCGGTGTCAGAGTCTGCTGGGAACCCAGGCCGGCTGACCCCAGAATCCACTTTTAACCAGAACCCCTATTGCCTTCCTACATCTTGTGGCTCACCCTAGACCCAGCGTAGCTGACAACGATGGGAGAGTCATATCACAAACCAGCACAGAGCAGGCACCCAATAAATATTTGCTGAAAGAAGGCAAACAAATAAATGCAAAAACATGATTAATAAAACCACACACAGAGGCAATTCATCAGGGAAATGATTTGGGGGCTGTTTGCCATATTCTCCCAGTCAAATAAAAATGTTATAAATGGGAAATTTTTGCATATTCTAGAAGGAACAATGACTGTTCTGAGCACAGAGCTCTAAATCCTTCTGTGTCCAGACATGCTATGGACCAGAGCCAAAAGCCAATATGAATCTGAAAAGAACTCCCTAGAATGAATACATTTACATTTATTCCATAAACGGCTGCTTCCTTTCCAAGCAATGACATCCTTCAGCCACTCTTCAAAGTCACTCTTGCTGGGCTAAGAGAGTGGTCATGCCACGGCTCTATTTTCAGCTGGCCTGTGGGTTGGAGCCCCAAGAGGTTTACATATTCTGTTTCGGTCCTGATATTTTTCTTTCTCTTCCCTTAGTCTTAGATGCCATGTTTACTTCATTAGCAGTTAGAACTGAAAACCTCGAGGGCCTCCAGCGGGGAAAATCGGTTTCGAGTGTTTGTAAACCTCAGTTCTTGATAGCAGTAGTACTGGCTCATCATGAGCAAAATTAAGGTAATAATAAAGGTTTTCAAGAGACCTCAAAGTGTGTTTTAACTGCATAAAAATTGGTTTTAAAGGCCAGTGAGCCATGGAAACTTCAAGCTGGAAGAAATCTTGTTTTTTTTTTAATCAATGTTCCTGCTTTAATACAGCAGGAATGTTCAAGCTATGATAACCTTATATATTTTACTGATCTGGGACTAGCACCGTGCCCGGTTTAGGAAAGGAAGTGCTTTTAGTAAGCACGTGGACTTCTTGAAGGGGCAGGATATCGCACGTGGATGGCAAAACGCTTCGAGAGCCAAATGAAACAGAAATGATTGAGAGACAAATGAATCTCACAGAGAGCAAGTGCTTGGCGATTCCAGGAGGGCAAGGTCTCCTGTTATGAGTCAAATTGTGTCCCTCTCCCCACCCCAAAAAATTCATATGTTGAAGTCTTAAATCCCTGTAACTCAGGGATTTCAGAGATAAGGTCTATATTTGGAGATAAGGTCTTTCAAGAAGTGAATAAGTTAAAATTAGGTCATTAAGGTGGGCTCTAATCTGATATGACTGGTGGTCTTTTTCTTTTTTCTTTGGGTGAGGAAGATTGGCCCCTGAGCTAACATCCTTTGCCAATCTCCCTCTTTTTGCTGGGGAAGATTCTTGCCGAGCTAGTATCTGTACCCATCTTCCTCTATTTTTTATGTGAGATGCCACCACTGCATAGCTTGATGAGCAGTGCATAGGTCTGCACCCAGAATCTGAACCCATGAACCCCAGGCCACTGAAGCAGAGCACTCATATTTAACCACTGTACCACAGGGCTGGCCCCTGACTGGTAGTAGTCTTATAAGAAGAGGAAATTAGGACCTAGACACACAAGCACAGAGCAAAGATCATGTGAAGACACAGGGAGAAGATGGCCATCTACAAGCCAAGGAGACAGAGAAGCCTCAGAAGAACCAGCCCTTCCAACACCTTGATCTCAGACTTCTAGTCTCCAGAAAGGTGAGCAAACAAATTTCCATTGTGTAAGCCGCTCACTCAGTGGTACTTTGTTATGGTGGTCCTAACAAGCGAGTACGTCTCTGCGAGCTGGAATGGTGCAGCTAAGCATTGTGGAGGACGAAGGAATAGAAATCATCCTGAAGGATGGGTACGATGTGTGGATGGGGGCAGGCATTTCTAGCAAAGGGCAGGGGATATTCACTTGAACCAAATGAAATTGTTGATACCTGATTCATCATTTTGGCCCCCAAAGTGGCAATTTCATATGCCCAATATAAGCAAAGGGCCTGGAGCAAGAGCGTGGCTGCCTGTCACACTGGTGAGTGGTAACATAGTGCAGTCACGAAGTGCCCACTCCACTTCGTGACTGGGACAAGTTTCTTCTTGGACCCTCAGGTTCCTCTTCTGTGAAATGAGGACAAAACTTGTACCTCCCTCACAGGATTGTTGCGAGCCTTGAAACAGATGATGCTTGTCAGTGCACAGGGCCTGGGGCATATTTAAGATCTTAGTAAATGTTACAGTAGCTTTTAGGACTCCCTGTGTGCAGCTAGTAAGAGCTAAACTGAAACAGCTTAAGGGGAAAAGGGATTATTAGAAAAACAAAGATGCCTCACAGAACACAAAGAAGGAACTTCTCCAAGTGGTCCAAGTGGGGGTGGTTTGCCCTCCAGGGGATATTTGGCAATGTCTAGAGACAATTTTTGGTTGTCACAACTAGGGAGGTGGTACTGGCATCTAGTGGGTAGAAGCCAGAGATGCTACTCAACATCCTACAAGGCACGGGACAGCCCCCACAACAAAGAATCATCTGGCCCCATATGTCAACAGTCTTGCTATTGAGAAACCCAGGCCAGGAGCTTGAGAGTCACATGGACCCTCAAAGCCACACCTGTCAGTGTGTCCTGGCCATTAAGCTTTTAGTGCCAAACACACTCTTGTCTCCTTTTCTTGGTGATACTGGAGCTGAGTCTCTGCAAACCGCATTTCTGGCTTTGCTAACTGGTTCCTTGCCAGGCTCTGTCAAGGGCAAGGGATGCTGGAGAGAGTCTACAAAGGCTGGAAGAGGGGAAAGGGACTTGCTTGTGCCAATTGGTTTGTGGTTCCTGACTGTGTCACCTGGTGACAGGTCTTCAACCCAGCACCCAACTGGTTCCAGTAGTGGTAGATTCCAGTTTTCAGCTTTGTTCTGCACACCCATAATCCACCTCATGGTGACCCTTCAGAGATATCAGCAAGAGCCGCCAGCATTCTGTCCCTGAGGTCAGTCCATGGAGACTTCCAGAGGCACCAAAATCAGCAGGACAATCTGAGTCCTAGCTCTGCACACCCTCTTCTAAACTATTAGGTTTGAGCCTTGAAATGATGCCTATCAGTGCACAGGGCCTGAGGCATGTTGAAGATCTTAGCAAATGTTAGGATAGCTTTTAGGACTTCCTGTGTCGCAGGTAAGAGGTCAGGTTCTGATAACTCCAAATTCTTCCCTTTGTTCCTCCAGCCCTAGGGATGTTAGGTACTTCCTTCCTGACGTTACTCTCTCTAACTTCAGTGTTCCCTTTTGCCTTTATAACCCTCCAGTGCCTTTTGGTCAATTGCCATTGTTAAATCTTCTGTTAAAATATCTGGTGTGGTTTCTGTTTTCCTGACTGAACTTGACTGATACACGCAGAACACTCACTTCATTCGTCTTTTTCTACAGTGGCTTCACTGCTCCTCAGGACCCTACCGCACGGCTCCAGAGCTTAGACCGTGCAGGTACAGTCACCTGATGAAAACGAATCTCTCTTAGCCCCAGTTACGGATTCCTGAGAAAGGAAGTCTAATTGGCCCAGCCTGAGTCATGTGGCTACCCCTGTCCAATCAACTGAGGCAGAGGGCGGGACCATGCTGTACAAAATGGCAGCTCCTTCTCCTCAATTCAAGTCAAAGGTTTAGCAGGAAGTTTCTTTTCAGCTTTTCAAAGCTCCGAGGTTTGTCCACTTAATGTAGTTAGTGTTGGTTGTAGTGGTAAAGTCAAAGGGGTGTCCTCAAAATGGTTCTTAGGAAATGAGTGTTAATCTTGGGCTTTCGTGTTTTCCCTTTTAATCCTGGCAGAAAGAAGGCAGGTGATGTCTCTGAGTAAGAAGGAGGCAAATTCACAGATGCCCTAAGAACTATGGCCCATGAGATTTACCTTGGAGCGCGCATCTTCCTTTCCCAACCTAACCACATCCTAAAGCCAATGTAAATACAGATTCGAAAAAGAACTAAATAAAATCTGGTTTCCGACAGCCTAAAAAGTCACAAATACTGAGTTTTTAAAATAGTGCAAAATCTCAAAAAGAGTTGGGTAAGTGGTGAATCCTTGACGCCCATCTCCAAGACTATGCTTCAATTAACCTCTCTGAGCGTTCGTTTTCTCAGCCACAAAATGGGGATTTTATGCTCAATTTCACAGGGTTGGTGTCATAATTAAGTAAGACCATATCTGTGAAAGCTCCTAATAGAATGTCTAGAACTGGTACCTCAGTAACTGAGAGTTATGTTCCTTCTGTGTCCCGCAGCATGTTCCTGAACTAAAATGTTTGAACGTGAGTCAAGACTTCCTCATAACACTGAAATATCGACCTATCACTCCAAAAAGAGGCAAACTGTCCCCTGAACACGGCCTCACTCAGTCTCCAGTCCCAATATTCAAAATATCAACAGTGCCCGTAGACTTCTTGGCAACTGGGCAGGCAAGTGCCTGGGGACACAATAGTGTCTGGCTAGGAACTCAAATGAGCTAGTTTTAAACCCAATGTTGCTATACACTAGCCGTAGGACTTTGGGCAAATTATTTCCACTTCCTCCATAAAACAAGGCTGATCATGACAGCAGCCATCTAATAATCTTGTTGTGAGGAATGAACGAGACAGTGACAGTAGCCGTCTAATATGCTTGCTGTGAGAAATGAATGAGATAAACCATTTAAAAGCACTTAGCTCTATGAATGCCTGTTACTTAGGAAACATTCAATAGCAGTTGGGTTAGCTTAGCTCTGATTATTTTCTGTCAGTAAACCTTTGGGGATTAGTTTGAGAATTTTGTAAAGCCTAAGGGCAAAACCATTCCCATTAGATGAAGAAACTAGGAGGATGCTGAAGGCATATAGAATTCTTTAATTTCAGAGTGCATTCCATTTGTTAACACCCTTCTCTTGTAGCTGAAAAATCTTTCCACTTTTCTCCAACTAGCTGCATGTCACTCCATGACCCCTCTTTCACTGGGGTTCATGCTTGACATTAACTAAGATGAAAGGCTCCTCACTTGGCACCGTGCATTGCTCTTAGGTATGGGTATTGTTAATAGGGAGGTCAATGCCTGTTTGGGGCCACGTGACCATTAACCCGTGGGCCAAAAAGTCCTCCAGGAACCAAGACCAGCCACTTTGAACACACTGCATAACAACTACAGCAGACTGCCTTAGGTCTGCAGACTTTTCCTAAAATAGCCTCAATGAGACAGCGTTTAAAAAATTATTTAAAGGAGAAACGGGTGGTTTAAAAATTATGCAAATGTTTTGTATTAATTTGAAAGCTAAACATGTCCAATGAAAGAAAAGTCTCATGTGTCTAGGATACACATGACTTGCCCCTGTCTATCAACAGACAATAGATAGATAGCGACATTTTCATAAATGGAGTAATACACAGCACTAAAAATGAATGAACAATAGGTTCATCTTGAATGTGATGACTCTCAGAAACAGAGTATTATGCGAAAAAAGGAAGTTGAAAAGAATTCAATTCAATTCAATAAAATGGTATGAGAGAATTTTCTGAACTTCATAAGCAGGCAAAATTCAATAATATATTGCTTATGGAAGCATTTATATGCAATACATCTATAAAGAAAGTAAAAAACATAATTTTTTCCAATTTGAGAAGTCTTTCTTTAAAAAAAAGAGGTGGTGTGAGATGTTCATACAATGGAATATAATTCAGCAAGAGAAAGGAACAAATTACTGATGCATACAGCAATGCGGAGGAATCTCACAAACATTATTCTGAGAAAGAAGCAAGATGAGAAGAGTACACACTGTACAATTCCATTTACGTGAAGCCCAAGAACAGTAAAAAACACTGTAGAGATAAAGATCAATGTAATGGTTACCTCACTGGGGAAGTTTGGGCTGGGGAGTGAGGATTTGAGGTGTTAACTGGGAAATCCACTGGGAAAGCACCTGAGGGAACCTCTGAGGTGATTCTACCTCTTGACCAGTGTGATTGTTCATGGACGTTTACATATGTAAAATTTCATCAAACTGAACACTTAAGATGTGTGTATTTGACTACACAGAAGTTACTTCTGTTGTTAGTGCCATGGAGTGGATTCTGTCCCCTTGTCACCCTGTGTACAGTAGAGCGGATCCCTGCCCACTCTTTTTGCACCACCTTCTCACATTCTGGAGCTCTATCAGACAATGCCCTGTTGCTGTTTTGTAGGGTTTTCATGGACACGTTTTCGGAAGCAGGTGGCCAGGTCCTTCTTCCTAGTCTGTCTTAGTCTGGAAGCTCTGCTGAAACCTGTCCACCATGGATGGCTCTGCTGGTATTTGAAATCCCGGTGGCATAGCTTTCAGCATCACAGCAACTCGCAGCTGCCAGAGTATAATAAGCAATAGATGGATGATGTGGTTCCGGACTGGGAAATGAATCCAGGCCGTGATGTGAGAGTCCAACTCTTAACCACTAGACTACCAGGGCTGGCTTTGTAATTTATACCTCAATTTTAAAAAATAGTTAAGATAACTATAATAGTAGATGATGATATATATTTTTAAATTTAAAGTCCTTTTGGGTAACGTAAAAAGTAGGCAACTGCTCATCGTCACCAGAATTTTACTTTGACGTCATATTGGTCCATGAAATCACATATAGAACCTCTGCTCTAACTTGGTGAATTTTTGTGGCACTTAATCCATCCTGCCTTATTTATATGACTTCTTTCCTCTTTCAGACTATAAAGACCAGGGGAACAGAAACCATGTCCCCATCGTTCCCAACCTGTGCACCCAGGCACCCTGTGCTGCGTGATATTTTGAAATTTTGAGAGAAACACAGCAACATTTCATCAGATATCACAAGAACTTCTAGCTTGAAGTAGCTCTGCTTCAAATTTAGATTATGTTGCATTTCTGTTCGTAATATATTTTTTGCAAAGCTGAGTTTAGTGATCAGTGTCATAAAATGCAAGTAAGCACAAAGTCAATATGGGATAAAAAATGAGGATGGCAGTGTCTGATTGGATTCCAAAGATTGAGAATCTGCGCAGTGCCCAACAGGCACATACATCCCATGAGTAAGTAATTGTGGTTATTTCGAAATGAAATAAAAATATTATTTTCTTTGAATTTGTGTGTAGCTCAAATAAATGAATACTAAATTGTTAATCCATAAGTATTTATTAAGTTCTTTTAACCTAACTATTGAAAAAAAACCTAACTGTTAGTTATTACTTTCAGCCTAGGGGTGTCATGAAAATATTACTGAGACACTAAGGGTGCCATGACCAAGGAAGTTTGAGAATCTCTGCCATGACTCTGTGACACACATATAAGCAGAATTATATACATACACATACAAATAACCCAGCGCAGTGTCAGATGTATAATAATTTCTCAGCAGATATATTGAGGAATGAATGAATGAATGAGCGAAGAAGCTTGGCTTGCCTTCTCATGCTTGGAAGTGTGTTCAAGTTTCTCATCTCACTTTGGAGCCTTCTTGGTTAACTTAATTCCAACCTTTCAAAGGACAGGCTGGGGACAAGAGAATGGAACCCAAGTGTGGTTCTGAGATGATGGTGGCACCCCTAAGTTGGCACATAGTGAGGCTTCACAAAGGAAGTGAACGTCACAGAGACTGAGGTATAAGACTGAGGGCGAGGCCGGCGTCTGAGACGGAAGGTGTTTCTGGCATAAGGGCTGTCATGCCTGGAAGCACGTGAGAAAGCCTGAGAACAGAAATACAGGGGCAACTGAGAGGGAGAGCCTGAACAAAAGAGAAGGCAGGTGTGAGGCAAAACGACAATAGGAGGCACAGGCTGGCAGAACATGAAAGTGACACATGGGAGAATCAAGAGGTCAAGTCAGCGAATTTGAATGTATTTAGAATTTATTGAAGAAAAAGAGTAGGTCAGGTATTTAAAGAAGGGGTGATGTGGTCAGAGACTCAGAAAAGAAATGTAATTTTAGCACCAATGCCTGTAATGAGGCAGCGAGGGTACCAAAGGCCACCTGACTGACATGGGGCTTGGAGAGCCCCCTGGACGGGCTCTGAGCTGGGTTTGAAAGAGATTCAGAAGCGCAAGGGAGCATGCAAAATAGAACCCAGCATAGATTTGTCTGGGTGAATAATCTGCTATGTTATAATGATTGCAAATGAAGAAAAATGATTTCTATTTTCTCTTTAGGCTGAAAAGTTCCACACTGAACACATTCCTACAAATGTGGCTAGAGAACATGGTCTAGCTAAACTTCACCTTTAGGCTACCCGTGGAGGCAAGTGGGATGTGGCTTGAATATCAATATTGGCTCGCACACAGATTGCATCCTCCGAACAGAGGCTCCGGATGGCTCACCAGGCTGGCTGTGGGCTCTCCTGGCGAGGCTCGTTCTGTCTTTAAGAGGGCTCATTCATTTTGCATGACAGCTCAACTTTTAATGTAGATCTCATTTCAGTGTTATCCCTACATCATCCTACCATGTAAAATAAAGTATCTGCATGTGCTTGAACTCGGAATGTTTTATAGCGTCATGTCAGAAGTTTATTCTTAGTTGAATGCTTATTCTCTCGGCATGTGAGATGCATTTATCCTAAAGCGCCAGTTATCTTTTTACCATTTCTTTGAGGTTGTGCTCTACTATGGTCTTCGGGTGTCCTTCCTGAAGCAATGGCGTCTATATAGTTGGTACCCCTGAGAAATGCGTGGGAGGCAGCCAAGTTTTATGGAATGTCATTTCACTGGGAAACTTCGGATCGAATCCCAGGTCTGCCACACATTTGCTGTGACTTCGGCTCAGTCGGGTTTCCTCTCTGAACATCTGCTTCCCCACCCATCAAATGACAAGAGGCAGAATGTCATTGTGGACAGAGCGTGAGCCATAGGTTCTCACGAGACTGGGTCTGAATTCCGGGTCCACCATTTATGAGCATTCTGAACCAAGGAAGTTACACACCCTGAGTTCAAATTTTATTGTGTGTAAAATACGAATAATGATATCTTCTTCATGGGGTTGTTGAGAGAAATAAAGGCAATTATGAGTAGAGTTGCCAAACATTCTGCTTTGAACCTCGTTGTCCAGTATTTGAACCCTTCACTGAGAGGGAATTTTTTTAATGGGGCCTTGATAGTTATATATACTGTTGGGGTAAGTGTTAGAGTGATCTTATCTTGTCATGATTTAGGTGCAAATATTTCTGCTTACTCTCTCGGCTTGTGCCTTGCTTTGCTGATTTGCAAATTAGATGTTAAGTATGAGACTTGGTTCCTCGTAAATTCTGGTGCACAACGTAGAATGGCGCTATGCAGCGAAGAGCCGTTCAGACCTGCGAGCAGGCAGGTCCAATGAAGAAATAGTGCTGAACACTTTCATTTTATAAACATACAGTGCAAGTCGGTCTTGGGTCTGCTTTCATCTTTCTCATTTATTCAGCACTTTTGTTTTCTTGATTTTTTGTTCTTAAACTTCATTTCCTATTATAAAAATAATACATATTTATCAAAAAAATTTTTAACATAGATGATTTTTTAAAAAAACACTTGTGCTGCCATACTCAGAAATCACCACCACTAATATGTGGGTGTATAAATTCCAGTGTGTGTGTGTCTGTGCGTGTGTAGATAGATATAGATGACTGTAAATAAAATTTTGCTGTAAACACAATTTTGCAATTTATTTTTTTTAGGTAAGCTTTTTTTACTGCAGTAAAATACACACAACATAAAATTTACCATTTTACCATTTTAACGTGTACAATTCAGCAGCAAGAACACATTCACAATCTTTTGCAGCCATCACCGCTATTTAATTCCAGAACTTTTTCAAAACCCCAGGAAAAAAACCCATCTCCGTTAAGCAGTCACTCTTCATTCCTCACTCCTCACGCCCCATGGCATCCACTAATCTGCTTTCTGTCTCTGGGGATTTACCTATTCTAGATGTTTCATATAAATGGAATCATAATTGCGATTTTTTTGTCCTTCATCTTCCCCTTAGCACAATGTTTTCAAAGTTCATCCAGGCTCTAGCATGTATCAGTACTTCATTCTTTTTTATGACTGAATAATATTCCATTTGTGTATACACCACATATAGACCTGCCTAGGGGGCAATATTCCTCATATCTCTAATTCTCACAGCAGTCTTGAAAGGTGTATAATGTCATTCCCATTTTACAGACAGGAAAACCGAGACACAGAGAGAGTTATACAAATGCACTTGGTGTTGATGCTGAGCCAGGGCAGAACCTAGGTCTGTCTATTTCCAAAGTCTGCACACTTTCCATTTAAGTTCCATTTACAGAACTATTTCCTTAGGATAATGTTCTAGAAGTGGGATTTCTAAATCACAGAACATGCAAAATTTTAAATTATTTGTTGCAGAACTTTTTAAAGACAGGCACTTTTGGTAACTTCATCAAGCTCGAATCAAGAATTTTAAAGATTTAATTTAGCTCCCAAGTGCCTTTCAAAAATTGATGCTACAAGTTTTTGGCATCAAGGCCATATTCAACTTGCAGAAAAATGAGTTTCTTCTTTACGCAGATCGTAAATTGATTGTGCAGGCACATATGTGAATTTAAGGAGTCGCGAGTTCTAGAAGGAGTAGTTAGAAGTCATGATGCCGTGCACTGAGTCTTTCTCGTTTGGCTAATCATAATCAATCTTTTGATGAGTAACTCAAATCTGGAGGTTGTCAACATGAAAAAAAGGGGCTCCCTCCAAATTCTCCTCAGGAGAGTCGTTTTTTGGGACATGATGTTCAAATGCTTTGAGAAAATGTCGTTTCTTGATAAGTGGAAATGTGTTTTCCACACGGAAGCTGCAGCTCTGTGTAAAAACCACTTTGATAATTGCTCTAACTTCTGTACTAGATACCAGATTGAAAATAATTTTTTGTGCTATGAGTAATCTTGGTTTAATGTCTATAACAGAACCAGTCTTGAGTCAGAAAAGCCAAACTTCATGGTTTGTTGGAGATTTTTAAAATACTTTTACTTATTTGGTAAGAAAAAGAATATAATGCTGATTGTCATTATTAAATGTTCCATAATATAATTTTTATCTGAGAAATTGTTTCCATCTAGTATTTTTGTCAGAAGCATCTGAAAACTCTAGAGCAATGTCAAATACAACGCCTGGCCTTTTAGAAAGTATTAGTTTCCCTACCTGCATTGATTTAGAAAAATAGTGATAAGATTAAAATGTATTTACTAATGCAACTAGAATTTATTAGCACCCACTCTGTTAAATCATGATGGACATGTCAATGAACAAAACAAATAACTTTCGACCCTCATGGAGGTTAATATCTAGACCAGTTAGTGGAGATGGTTGGAAGAGACAAACCAGACAAACAAAATACTCCATGACTGACGGCGATAGACAAAGAAAAAGCAAGATAAGAGATAGGATGTGACATCAAGGGTAACTTTTGAGCACAGACCTGCCGTGAAAGGACAAGCTATGCAGGTATCTGGAAGGAAAAACGGTTAAGGCAGGAAGATCAGTAAAAGCAAAGATCCTGGAGAAAGATTTCAGTTGGAGGAGCTGGGAACAGCAAGGGCCCTGCAGGACCAGAGCAGAGTGAGTTGAGGGGAGGGTGGGTCAGTCCTGAGGTTACAGAGGTGTAGGGCCTTGGAGACCTTTGTAAGAATTTTGGCTTTTCTTCGGAAGTGATTGCTGGCCTTTAGAAGATGTGATGTACTTATTAAAAGGTTCGCTCTTGTTGCTTTGTGGGAAAAAGACCATACAGAGGCAATAGTAGAACAGCAAGAACTTTCAGAAACCTAGTGCAATAATCCAGGCTAAGATAGTGGTGGGTTGGGTCCAGGTGGAGAAATGATTAGATTCTGGATATATTCTGTAGGTAGAGACGTTAGGATTTGCCGATGGATTGGATGTGGGGAATGAAAGAAAAAAGGGCTCAGGAATGATTTTCAGGTGTTTAGCCTGACCAAAATGAAGTTGCCATTTACTGAAAGGGGAATGTTTCAAGAAGAACAGGTTTTTTAACGTTATTTTTGTTATTGCTTTTTTTTGGTCATGGGGTGATGTATGAGTTCGATATGGTACATGTTAAGCTCAAGAGAGCAACTGTAGTCCAACTGGAAATGTCTAAGATGCTCAGGAGCCAACTGGATGTACAAATGTGAGCAGGAGATACACATTTTGGAATCCTCAGTGTTAGATGGTGTTTAAAGGCAAAGTCATGTTGGATGGAGAAAAGAAGTTTAAGGATTGAGCCCTAAGGATCCCCAAGGTTTAGAGGAAAGGGAGATGAAGAGAATTCAGCAAATGAGACTGACAAAGAATAGCTAGGCGTGTGGAAGAAGAACCAAAATAGAATAGTTTCCCAAAGTTAAGAGAAGAAAGTGTGTCTGGAGGGAGAGATTGATCAACTGTCAAATGATGCTGTAGGTCAGATTTAGTCTTAGAGCTCAGGCTGCTATAACAAAATAGCTAGACTGAGTGACTTAAATAACAGACATTTATTTCTCACAGTTCTGGAGGCTGGCAAGTCTAAGATCAAGTGCCAGCAGATTCAATTCTTTTTGAGAACCCACCTCCTGGTTTGGAGATGGACACTTTCTTGCTGTGCCCTCACATGGCAAAGAGAGGAAGCTCTGATGTCTCTTCCTCTTCCTCTTCTTATAAGGACACTGATCTCATCATGGGCGCTCCTCTCTCCTGACCTCATCTAAACCTAATTACCTCCCAAAGACCCCTCCTCCTAATACCATCACATTGAGGGGTTAGGGCTTCAATACATGAGTTTTGGGGCGACACAAACATTCAGTCCACAGCAGTATAACGAGGAGAATTGAGCATTGGGTTTGGCAACATGAAAGTCCCTGTTGATGTTGAAAAGGGTAGTTTTAGTGATGTCGTGGGACACCCTCGATTAGAAAGCATGGGAGAAAGCACCACCATGGAAAGATAACAGGTTGTATTTTTCACAAAGGCACTCAGCTTAGGGTCAAGTGGGGATCAAGTCTATCCAGCTGGAACTTCACCGGCCAAGTCCTCCACCCTGGATGGGCTGTGTCAGCGCAGAGGAAAGGACAATTTTCTTTTTGTAATTTATCTACCTGGAGTAAGCAGAATTCTAAGCCCCCAAGATTCTGGCCCCTAGTATACACACACCCTCTCCCAGTTATTCAATCAAAAACTAAGTACTAAGGTACTGCTGTGAAATTTGTAGCTGTAATAAGTCCTCACATTAGTTGACCTTTTGGGAGATTACTTGGGTAGACCTGGCTTAGTCACATGGGTCCTTTAAAAGTAGAAAGTTTTCTCCTGTTAGTCAGAAATGAGGAAGTCAGAGAGACACACTCCAACTGGCTTGCAAAAAGCAAACACCCAGATTGTGAATCGCTTATGAGGGCCAAAGGGGAGGAAACATGGGTGTCTCTAGGAACTGTGAGAGGTCCCCAAGCAATGGCTAGAAGGAAAACAAGGACCTCAGCCCTGTGACCACAAGAAACAGGGTTCTAACAACAATCAGTGAGCTTGGAAGAGGACCCTAAGCACAGATGAAACCACAATCCTGGCCAACATCTTGATATCATCCCAGGGACACCCTGAGCAGAGAATCAGGCTATGCTGTGCTGGAGCCCCTGACTTACAAAAACTGTGAGATAAATAATTTGTATTGTTTTGAGCCACTAAATTTGTGGTACTTTGTTACACAGCAATAGCTAATCAATACAAAGCTTTTAAAAATTCACATCATGCACCATAGGCCATAGTAGCAGCCTTGCAGGAGAGAAGTAGAGACAGTGTAGACAAATCTTTCGATGAGTTTTGCTAGAGGGAGAACAGAGAAATGGTGACACATGGAGGAGGTGGTCAAAATTGTACTATTTTTGTTATAAGGTGGGAAATATTCTAGTACTGAGTGCTGATGGGAATGATACATTAGCACAGGGGAAATGAAAGTGCATGCTAGAGGGAGGACATGTCCTGGTGCAACGTCCTGAAGAGAGGGATGGGACCCAATGAATAGTAGGAGGGGTGGCTTTGTCTTCCACAGAAACAAAGTCATTCTTCCACAGTACTGGAGGGAAAGCAAAATGTCTATGTGCGTAGAGAGGGCCCAGTTGGTTACTGACTGATGGGATATTCCAGATTGCTTCCATCTCTCAGTGAAATAAGAATCAAGGACATCAGCCCAAAACAGGAGGGATGGGAGTGTAATAATCATCTAGGAGTGTGAGTAAGTGGATAAACCAGGGAATTATGGTGGGCTTGCTTGGGTCACATGAAGTTAGTGGTTAGGAATTTGAAGTGAAACTGTCCACAGAGATATGCGCTTTTCTCCAGCCACACCCAGCTCCCTGGGGCAGGCTTTCAAAATTCAGAGAGGTGCATTTAACCAAATGGAGAGTCTTCAGACAAATACAACAGCTGAGGAAGGTAGAATAGCCACCACT